ATCAACCAACTCCACTGTGCTGCTTCCCCCACTGATGCCCCCAGCCAACTGGCACAGCCACATGTTTAGGCCCTCAGAGAAAGAGAGGAACTTCACATCAAGGGGCCCAAATGTTCCAGAGGGCAGGAGCATCAGCAGAGGAGGCCTGTTGACTGTAAATTGTTCTGTGCATGCACAGAAACATGCTGGCAATGGCAGAAGAGACCAGGGAACCGGTTCGGGGGCATGGCCAGCCTGGATTGCTGCCGGTTCTGCAACCCAGGCCAAATCACCACTACCGGTTCGGCCAAACCAGGCACAACTCACCTCTGCATATAATGTAAAACTGTTAAAATGTTGCTTTAATTTTTTATTATGAATAGTATTGGAGGAAATTGTTTTAAGATCTGGGAATTTAGAGTGGCATTTTTGGAAGGTGATTTTTTCCCCCATTCCAACAAAGGAGCGACCAACTTCCGGAGCCGATAATGTGATTGTTTTCCTAGGAGGCAAACTGCAAGAATCACCGTGTGAACCGTGTGGTCTTCTTGGGGAACATCAAGAGGCTTCTGACAACTGGTGTGTCACGCTGGAACACCAGGCAGATTGCTCTCTGGGATCAGGTGAGGAGAAGAGTTGCATGTTTGTGCATGCATGTGCAAGGTGCTCAGCTCCAACAAAACAAAGCAAAGTCTCCTTTTACCACGTCATTGAAGGGAAAAGCTTCTGGTGGCCTCTTTCCTAGTTCACCAACAGAATTGTGAAAGAAGGGTGAGCTCAGGGTAGCAGCAGCCAGAAGCATTTCCTGCAAATGATTTTAACTTTTCCCCATTTGGGTTGTGGCTCAATATATTAAGGAATGCAATGGCTCACGGGGTTAGAATGCTGGGCTGATGATCAGCAGCCTCATGTTCGAGACCCATTGCTGTCATGGAGCAGGTTGAACTCCCATCACAGGTTCCAGCTCCTGTCGACCCAGCAATCTATCACTTCACAGGGCCAATTTCACAGGGATGTGAAAGGCTCTGGTGTCTCCTGCGTAACAGTGATGTCATCAGCAAATCCTTTCGCTCCAGAAGAACTTCTATGTTTCTGACTCAGGAGTACTAGTAATGGCGTAGTATATGGTGTGAGCATTAGCACTTTGTAAATTATGATGATGTGGCTCTATGAGTGTATGAGCTTCATTTTATGACTTAGTCAACAACCCCTTAATTAAGCAAGCACAGCTTACTGCAGTGCATGAGCTCAGCTAACATGCTGAAGGTGCTGTGGAATTCTATTATTTATTTTATTTATCATATTTATATAGCTGCCCATGTCAAAATTTGGGAAATGTACAATAAAAAACAATTAAAAACTAACAATTAAAAAATCAGCAATTAAAATACAAAGGTATCCAGTAGTGATGTAGAGGAGGGAATCCTTGTTATGAGCCATACAGTCACCTCACTAATTCCCCACCACCCTGAGACCCCAGGCCTCTTGGCACAACCATGTTTCAATGGGTTTCTGAAGTCATGGAGAATAGGTGCAATGCGCCATTCTAGAGACACACTAACTCCCTATGCCAGAACATTTTGCACCAGCTGAAGCTTCCAAAAACCTTTGAAGGACTTAATATGATCTTTGGGTTTAGCATTTAACTTGAAAGTTGCACCATTTGCACTCAAACCAAGAAAGTATTTGTTTGTATTTTGCATTCCCCCAGGAGGATCTATCCATGCCACTGATAGAGGAAGAGATTGATGGATTATCGGGCCTTCTCTTCCCCTTCTATGATGCTGATACCCACATGTTGTACCTGGCTGGCAAGGTACATGAGGCTAGCTTCTGGGCGTGAATGCTTGGATTGCAGAGAGCATATGGTACTCTGCAAATGTTCTACACTGTCCAGATTTGCTTGGAGGGAAACACGCACGTACATATTTATACCCCCGCAAAACTGTTTTCATTCATCTAGAACTGGGGACAAGGATCAAAACCTAAGTGCAAAGATCTCATGTGAAATTTTAATCTATTTAGACAGAGGCCTATCTTGGGCATTGGGGGGGGGGGTACCAGGTTGTCCATCCCTAATCTAATGTGTAAACATTTAAATATAGTTTATAGTTTGATATTATGTGCACACATTCTTAGAATTAGTTTTGTTGAACTTCATGCAACTTTTTTTCTCTGCCTTAAAGTCTTGAGGGAAGAGGCAAACTGCTTTGAGCAGGTCCAGGATGAAGTAAGTTAGATAAAATTAATAAAATCATGTAAGGTATGTAAAGTCAAGAGAGACCAATTCACTGGTGCTCAATCTTGGCAAGTTCAGTGAATTGTGGGTAGAGTTAGCTATGTTGGAGAGAGCCCTTGCTGGAGTGGGCTGGCTTTTCATTTACTTCACTCTGTTGATGCTCACTCTTAGGGAACTGTTTCAGAGAAATAACCACAATTTCCATAATTGAAATTAGTAACAAATTAAATTTGTTCGCCATCCATCTCACCGCAAGGCAACATAATGGAAGGAATGTGTCTTTGGTCTGGAAGGACAGAGAAGGAGCTACTGAGGACCTTCCCCACTAAGTGGAGCAATGTAACCCATCTGGATCTTCCTCAACGCGAAGTTGGGCTTTAAAAGCAGAGATCAGAAATATGGGTATACATAGGCCATCTCCCTGTGCTCTGACAGGCATAACATTTAATTGAATCTAGCCTGGTTAGTGATAAAGAACACTTGAAGTACTTTTGAGGGATAGGAACTTCTTATCCACTCAGCCTTAGTTTTTCTGTCCTAAAGATATAATACCTCACAAAACGGCTGTGACATTCTAAAGGAAGCTGCTATAAACCTGTTGACAGTATTGAACAATGAATGTGAGTTCAAACAAAAAAATGTGTTCCAGCTTTTGGATTCCCCATAGTTTCTCATTTCAAACAGCAGAGTCTGAGAGCCACACAAAAGCTTGTGATGCCTTTTCTGCTGCTGTCCCAATAATGGTCTTGTCTGAGTAACGGATGTCGTCTTCTCACAATCCAACCGATCTATATTTTCCTCCTAAATGAATTCATCCAGTTCAGAGGGTGCCTCTGATTTACTTCTCCTCTTCTTGCCTCTCCTCCCTCAGGGAGACGGGAATATCCGATACTATGAAATCAGCACTGAGAAGCCATACCTGACCTACCTGATGGAGTTCCGTTCTCCAGCCCCACAGAAAGGCCTTGGTAAGGGGTGTCTGTGGTCTGCTGGGATGTCTAAAAGAAAAGATTGAGATACAGAGTAAAATCATCCACGCGCCACCAAGTTCCCATTCCCCTGAAGAAGAGAATATCTATAGCTCAGGGATGAACTGTGGAGTTCTGGTGTTCACTTGCACGGATGAGGCTACCTGATTGGGTAATGAATCTCCTGCAAGCAAAGAGCCAAGCTCAGAGAGCGTCAAGGACTCCACGGTCTCCTCTTTCTGTCACAATATATTTCGCCAAAGTCATTCCAAGCTCCTGGTTTTTAGTTCAGTGTTTTTCATAGCTTCTCCCTCGCCATGTTTTTTCAAATCTTTGTCTTTCCTGGCTTTATCCCCGCTTCTTCCCCTCCCCAACAGGTTTGGCAATTCTCAAGATTTCCTTTCACTGTTGTGGGACTGGCTCCTTTTCCTCCTCGAGTAGAAGGTTTATGAAGAGAAGAACAATAATTCAGCCAATGGAGGAGAAGGAGAGGCAGAGCCTTGGGGTGAAATCAAAAGAGAAATAAGCCTAAAGTCATTACATTGCCACAAACAATCAGTCTCTTGAATCCCACTGCTTCTCCAGCAGTTAGTTGACTAGATTCTGGTGTATAGGCATGAGCAATAAATCAGTTTAACTGGAACTTAATGCTTAGTCCGAATACTTTATGCCTGGCAGTCAGCCGTTGAACAGAATCGGTAGTTCCAGTTCCAGTTCAAATGTAAGGGAACATTAAACGACAATTATTGTGGGGCTGCTGTGATGTCAGATCAAAAGTTCTTCTCACAACTTAGACAGGAATTTCCCATAGGTCATGTTTTCTTAAATTTTATACATGCAGGAGTAATGCCGAAGCATGGCCTGGATGTCTCTGCATGTGAGGTCTTTCGGTTTTACAAGCTCGTCACACTGAAGGGATTAATTGAGCCAATTTCTATGATTGTACCGAGGAGAGTGAGTAATTAGACTTTGTCTTTTTTGCTTTCAGCTGTGAGCCCAAAGTGTGTGTGTGTGTGTGTGTGTGTGTGTGTGTGTGTGGTCAAATAAGTAAACATGACAACTGCATCAGGGGAGGGTTCCTGTACCAGTTGGTTACCGGTTCGCTTCGTGTGCATTTCGTCCATACGTACACCCACCGCACGCTGCTTGCGCATGCACAGTTGATTATCAATTGTTCTGCGCATGTGCAGAAACATGCCGCCAACAGCAGAAGAGATTGGGGAACCAGTTCAGGGGCATGGCCAGCCCGGGTCTCTGCCAGTTCTGCAACCCACCTCTGAACTGAATCATTTAAATCTATTTTTATGCTATTTTTAATTATTCTTGTTTTCTGGGTTTAGTCTGTTTATTATTTATTTATTACATTTATATGCTACCCATCTCACCAATAAGGTGACTGCTTAAGGTACCCATGGGTACCTTAAGGGATACATTGAATTGCAGGTAGTCCTTGACTTATAACTGTTCATTTAGTGACCGTTTAAAATTACACCAGCAGTGAAAAAATGACTAATGCCCGTTTTTCACACTTACAACTGTTAAAGCACCATTCTCACGGTCAGGTGATCAAAATTCAGATGCTTGGCAACATATTTATGACTGTCGCAATGACCTGAGGTCCTCTGATCCCCTTTTGCGATGTTCTGACAAACAAAGTCAATGGGGGAAGCCGGATTCACTTAACATCCATGTTACTAACTTAACATCTGCAGTGATTCACTTAACATCTGTGGCAAGAAAGATCATAAAATGAGTCAAAGTTTACTTAACAACTGTCTCATTTAGCAACAGAAATTGTGTAAGTTGAGAACTACCTGTATTGCTCTGATGCATAAAAACCATACATCAGTATGAATATATTCACAGTGATCGGAGCGGCTGAGTCCATTTGAGGGCAAATTCCATAGAATTCAATAGGGCAATGCTGAAATATACACCTAAGCTTGCAATGAAAAATGGTACTTAAAACCTAAGATATTTTGCCACTGTAGCTTGGCCAGGTTTTGTACTTTATACAGAAAGAGAGGACATGTTGCACAACTACTTTTTATTGAAAATATGCAGATCAGTTCCCTCTTTGGATCATTTTTCTTCCTGTTCCACAAACCCAAATATTTTTGGTTGAGATTCCATTATCTTATGAGCCATGGTGGCGCAGTGGTCAGAATGCAGTACTGCAGGCTACTTCTGCTGACTGCTGGTTGCTTGTGATTTGGCAGTTCAAATCTCACCAGGTTCAAGGTTGACCCAGCCTTCCCTCCTTCCGAGGTGGGTAAAATGAGGACCCAGATTGTTGGAGACCAGAGGCTGACTCTGTAAACCGCTTAGAGAGGGCTCTGAAAGCATTGTGAAGCGGTATATATGTCTAAGTGCTATTGCTATTGCTATTTTGATTTCTACTCCAGATTATAAATAAAGAGAGTAGTCATTTCCCCCCCTGTTCATAGCAGAGGCTTTTAGAAAGCGGGAAAGGAGGGATGCTGATGCCAATTGTCCTCCTCTTCATCTTCCTCTTGCTCATCAGTATCCTTATTACGGTCAATGACTATCCATAAAACTCTTTCCAAATATACTTTTTTATTTCCATTTTCATAACATACAATCACATGTATACTATTACATAGCCAGTATCCTAT